CAAATTAGGTTCCCACTTGACAATTTTTATACCACTTGTTCCATGATATTAGTTATAGTTTTCATGATGTATCATTGTTCCCATGGTTTCCATTGCATTTGTTTTATTTCCATTGACCTAGCATGCCCCCTGCTCCTTTGTCTTCTTATGTTGGCTTTTAAGTAAATGTTGATCCTCTATAGTTTATTTTTAAAGAGAACTCACAGGTGATACTGTTTATTTTATAGACCAAGCTATGAGTTGGCGCCAATGTGACCTCTAGGAGTAGCTTCTGTTTCAAGTTCAAAGGGACCCTTAGGGCTCTAATCTTGGGGATGCCACTAGTCTCTATCAGTCCAGTAGGTCTGGATATTTTTTTTCTTTTAGAATTTAAATTTTGTTCTACATTTTTGGCCCATTCTAGCTGGGACCTTAAATAGTGTCCCTGGTCAGAATAGTTGATAGTAGTAGATCTAGATTTTCTGATTATGTCTTAGATGGTTTGTGTCTTAGATGACTATTCACAAGGTTTTAAGACTCCAGACATTACTTACTAAACTAAGGTGTAGAAAATTATCTTTATGAACTATGTTATGCCAATTGACCAAGTTGGCCCACAAAACTATAGTCCTGAGTCTCAACTCAGTAAAACAACCCTGTTCTTTGTTTAAATATGTGTAAGGAGTGTCTGCAACTGTCCTCCCATGTGCTTTATTATATATATGGAGATATATGCAGCAGCACACAAACATGTATACACATATAGCTACAGCTACACCGAGGTACATGTGTGCATGTACTTACATATACTTTCCTATAATTCAAAGACCAAACCCCCTACCATTGAGTCATTTTCAATTCAAGGCAACCTTATAGGATGGAATTGGATTGTAGAGTTTCTGAGATGTTATGGAAGCAGACAGCCTCACCTTTCTCCCACTACCTTCCTATATTCATACAAAGATTGAAGTTGTCAAGGCTTTCCTCTTGCTTGGACCCAAACTCAATGCTCATGGAAGCAGCAATGAAGAGATCAACTGACACATTGCATTAGGTAATTGTGCTGCACAAGACTTCCTGAAAGTGTTAAAAAACAAGGATGTTACTTTAAGCCTTAGGTGCACCGAAACCAAGCTATGGCATTTTAAATGGCCTCATCTGCATGGGCATCGAATAAGGAAGACTGAAGAATTGATGCATTTGAATTATGATGCTGGTGAAGAATCTTGAAAGTACCATGAACTGCCAAAAGAAGAACGACAAAATCTGTCTTGGAAGAAGTGCAGCCAGGAGGCTCCTTAAAGTCAACAGTGGCGAGACTTTGTCTCACGTACTTTAGAATGTTATCAGGAGAGACCAGCGCCTGGAAAATGACATCATTCTTGGTAACGTATAAGGTGAGTGATAAAGAGGGAGACGGTTGTTAATCTAGACTGACACAGTGACGGCAACCATAGGCTCACACACAAGGCCAATTATGAAGATGGCGCATGGCTGGCAGTGTTTCTTTCCATTGTACATAGTCTCTATCCATCAGAACCGACTCAACGGCACCTAACGACAACAACAGTTACAATCTACGGAGAGATTGATTTCCCCTCCCCCTCCTATCCCTGTGGTTGTTGTTGTTTGGGGCCCTCAAGACAATTCTGACTCCTAACAATCCCATGCACAACAGAACAAGAGACTGCCTGGTGCTGCACCATCTTCACAATGGTTGTTATGCCTGAGCCCATTGTTGTAGCCGCTGTGTCCACCCATCTTGTTGAGGGTTTCCCTCTTTTGTTGCTGCTTTACTACTTTATCCAGTATTATATCCTTCTCCAGGGACTCTTCTCTTCTGATAGTATGTCCAAGTTATGTTCGAGCAAGTCTCTATAACCACCAAAGACTGTTGTTTTCTGTGTGCGTCTATTCTTCAGTTCTTAAATAGTGGGACCATCCAATATTTGTTCTTTTCTAACTGACTTATTTCACAGAGCTTAATGTCCTCCAGACCCATAGGATGATTTGTGGAGACCTTGCTTTTCTATACAACCAGTAGAGTTGTATAGATGATATTGGATGTGTGTTTCTCAATGTATTTAGCTATTCATCTGTTGATGGGCCCTTAGGCTGTTTCTACGTTTTTTTGTTGTTGCTATTGTTGAATTCTGCAAAGAACATAAATGTAAGAATGTGATTCTTAGATCCTTTGTGTATTATAACTATGGTCATTATAACTATATGCACATAAGCCCATCATATCAATATTATCATATGCCAAATGCCTCTCCTATGCTAGATTGTATTGCATTAGGTAATCTGCTGCTTAAGACCTCTCTAGAGTATTGAAGGGCAAGGATGTTACTTTGAGGACTAAGGTGCGCCTGACCCAAACCATGGTATTCTCCGTTGTCTCATATGCATGTGAAAGTTTGACATTGAATAAGGAAGATGGAAGAAGAATAGATGCACTTGAATTGTGGGACTCGAGAAGGATACTGAAAGTACCATGGATAGCCAAAAAGACAAACCAAGTTGTGTTGGAAGAAGCAAAGCCAGAGTGCTCCTCACAGGCAAGGATAGCAAGGCTTCTTTGGGCATGTTTTCAGGAGAGGCAAGTCCCTGGAGAAGGTCGTTATGCTTGCTAATGTGGAAGGGCAGTCAGAAAGAGGAAGACCCTCAATGAGATGAACTGACACGGTGGTGGCATCATTGGACTCAGGCATGGGAACAATTGTGCAGATGGCACAGGACTGCGCAGTGTCTCATTCTGTTGTGCATATGATCACTATGGGTTGGAGCCAACTCGATGGCACCTAACAACAACGACATCCTAGTTGGGCATTTTACCTCAATTAATCTCCAAGTCAAGCTGGTGAGTAGGTAGGGGTGTACTTGCCCATTTTACAGACGAGTAAACCGACACTCAACAACGTAGATTTGTTTCCCCAAATCACTTCTTGCCAAGCTGAGCTGGGGTGGAAGAGAAGCTTTTGTGCAATTGTAGTCTTCCCTAAGGCTACATAGATGCTTGTCATTTGTAGTTGAGCTTTTAACTTGCACAGAGATAAAAACAAAGGGGCCATGGTCACAAATCATTGACTTAACAGAAGGATAGCATTTTGGGATTCTTACAGGTTTTGCTTCCTTATTCAATATCTAACTTGCACATGCATTGGAGGTGATTGAAAATAGCGTGGTGCGGTCAGGTGTACCTCAGTCCTCATTGAGCAATGCTTTAACAATGTCTCGAGAAGACTGATGAGGAATGGACGCATTTGAATTGTGGCCCCGGTGAAGAGCATAGAAGGTATCATGAACTGCCTGCCAGAAAAAGACCCAAATCAATCTTGGAAGAAGTACAACCTGAACGCTCTTCAGAGGCGAGACTTCAGCTCATGTGCTTTCGGCATGTTTTCAGGAGCGACCAGCCCTTGGACAAGGACACCATGCTTGGTAAAGATAAGTGGCTTCAGCAACAGGCTCAAGCATAACAGTAATTGTGAGGGTGGTGGAGGAGCGGGAGTGTTTTGTTCCCTGGGGCAAGGGAATGCTTTGAGTTAGAACTGACTCCACAGCACTAACAACCACGTAGATTTTGTTGAGAACTTCTGCTGGCACAGTGATGGAAGAGTTGGGCTACTAGCAGCCAGTGTCCCAGGCACTCGGAGGGAGAGGTAAGTCCTTCAGTAGAGACTTCCAGCCTCAGAACCCCAGTGTTTCCGATTGAGGTCTGTAAATCAGAACTGATTCCATGGCAGCTGGGTAGTTGTGTACATAGGTTTTACTTTCTGAAGCATTTATGACATGTAACAAAAGGAAAATCTAAAAGCTGGACTTCCCCAAGCCGCAGCTGACTGCGCATTAATCAGAAAAATAAGTTAAATTAAATCCTCAACTACAACTGGAGAGGCATTGGGAAACCCACCTTCTTAGTTCTGTGAGGACCGGTTGGTAACACCCTCCCAAATTTCGGAACTCCTGCACTTGGATGAGAGAAGTCTACTTTGAGCAATGTACTTGGACCTGGGATGGAGTACAAAGCCTAAATACCAATCAATATGCGTCTGGTTAAATCAAGGGTGGTATCGTGGTTACACATTAGGCTGCTATTAGAAAGATCCCCCGTTCAAAACCTCCAGCCACCCCTCGAGAGAAAGATGGGGTTTTCTACTCCAGTAAACAGTTCCAGTCTTGGAAACTCACAGGGGCAAAGGGTCCTAAAGGATCGCTGTGCGTTGTCATGGACTTGATGGCAGCGGCTATGTTTTGACCATCCAGCGACTCTCCCTTTCTCTTCCTCTTGCCCCCAGGAACCATCAAGGTCTCACCACCCTATGAGAACTGCTCGCTGCTTTTCAGAAAGGTTGGGTGGCGGCGAGAAGAGGGTGGGAGTGGACTGGGCGCTGTGAGCGGTTTGCATTGGGCTGAGAATCTAAAGGCTGGGTTGAAGTTCAGCAGGTGGTTTTCTGGAAATCCCAGGGAGCCATTTCCTGAAAGATTGCAGCAAATCGCCCCCCGGGGGGAGCAGTTGGACTGATCCCACCGGGTCGCTGTCAAGGCAACCCTCAGAAGGAATCCCGGTCCTCGTCCATCCTTTCCTTCACAGCGCTCCCGCCACTTTGCAGAGAGCAGGCGGTGGCCCTGTGACCCAGAAGTCAACTGCAGTCTTGCAAAAGCTGAGAGGCCCCTGGAGTCCCTGCCGGATGTTTGCAGAGGGTTACTAGTGGTCGCTGCTTCTCCCTGAACATGGAGGATCTGGATCTGTCTGCCTCGGAGCCTAGAAGGGAGGTAGGGCTGCCGCTGTCCTAGAAGTCCTTTAAAGAGCGGTCAACTTTTCTGGGTCCAGCCGGTCCACGCGGGCACTTGCGGGAGGAGGGAGGATGGGCAAAGGAAAGGCGGTGGTGCCCTTGGTGAACCCAGCTCCCCCTCTGCTCGCTCTCTCTTTCTCTGCCCAGCCCGAGACTGACCCTCCTCTGCTGGGCAGCGGCGCCCCCGCGGGCGCCCCCGCCCCCGCCTCCGAAAGCTCCTCCGGGCGCCGCCGGCTTCGCCTCATCCTGCTCATCAGCTTCGCCCTCCTCGTCCTGGTGGCCTGCGTCCTGGTGGCGGGAGTCTTGTGGTGGCGGAGCCAGCGCCAGCAGCCGCCCGAGCCTTTGCACTGGCAGGGTGCTGGCACCACGGACAGTATCTCCGAGATCGTCCTGGGGAGATGCTTCACCTACACGCGGGTGAAGCGACCTGAGCTGCGGTGAGTGGGGCGCGCGGGGAGGCTCCGAGAGAGGACTGGGCTGTGCTGGGCACCCCTGCACCCCTGGCACTGGACAGGCGGCCAGAGGGCCAGAAGCAAACATGGGGACGGGGACAGGGAGGTGGGGAGCCACCGGGTACGCTGTTGGTTCTGTGCGCAACAGGCTTGAGCCCCTAGCTTGGTCTCCGAGCTAACGCTCCCACTTCTGAGAGGACCCGGTTCGACCCAGCTGCGGGGCTGCCTCCGGGGTGCAGCCCACCCCGGCGGGTGGGGACGGACGGGTATGGTCTGCGGGGCGCCAAGATTTGCCTGGCTTTTGCTGCTTTGCTTGGCGTTGCGCTTTGCTCTTGGCCCCAGAACGCCCGGACCAGGACAGAAGCCACCTGAGCAGTCAGAGGTACAGGAGGAGGGCGTCCCAAAGGGCTTTCTTTGTACATGCGTTTAATTTATTTATTTTCTAATTTAATTTAATTTCTTAATCGTTTTATTAGGGGCTCATACAACTCTTACCACAATCCATACATACATCAATTGTGTAAAGCATATTTGTACATTCATTGCCCTCATCATTCTCAAAACATTTGCTCTCCACTTAAGCCCCTGGCATCAGGTCCTCATTTTTCCCTTCCCTCCCCGCTCCCCCCTCCCTCATGAGCCCTTGATAATTTATAAATTATTATTTTGTCATATCTTGCCCTGTCCGACGTCTCCCTTCACCCACTTTTCTGTTGTCCATCCCCCAGGGAAGAGGTCACATGTAAATCCTTGTAATAGGTTCCCCCTTTCCAACCCACTCTCCCTCTACGCTCCAAGTATTCCCACTCACACCACTGGTCCTGAAGGGATCATTCGCCCTGGATTCCCTGTGTTTCCATTTCCCATCCATACCAGTGTACATCCTCTGGTCTAGCCAGACTTGCAAGGTAGAATTGGGATCATGATAGTCAGGGGCGAAGGAAGCATTTATTTCTATAAAACCAGATCCCCATTCTTCTGGCAAGCCACAGAAAGCCTGGGAGTAGTAAACTCATTGTAAACAACACACACACACACACACACACACACACCCTTAAAAAGTTAAGACGTGACTTGCTCCTTTAGGCGGATCTGCTTGTTATTAAATGTCTAATTTCCTACAGACCTTTAGAAACACCACCCAGATTCGTTTATGGGACCTTTCTAGAAATTTCCTCCTCAGGCACTCTCCCAGCCACTAACCCCCTGACCCCTAGCTCCCTACCCGAACAGAAAAATGATCACAATATTAGTTCAGACTTAGTGCATCTTCTGTGTGGAGGAGCCCAGTGCGCTGCACCCAGTTTTCCTGGCTGTGAGCAAACCTCGCTCACTGCCATCATGTCCCAAGACTGGAACTCATGACCAGAGTAGGGAGCCCTGTCTTTCTCCTGGAGAGCAGCTGGTGGATTCTAAAGGCTGACTTTGTGGTTAGCAGGCCAACCTGTGACCACGATGTCCCCAGGGCTCCTCGTGCTGCGTTCCTTCCTGAAGTGTTGCCCATGGGAACCCACACAGAGGCACTAGGATGACAGATCTGACCATCAGCATCAGAAAGGTCATAACCTTGAAAGCCCAAAGGAGTAATTCTACTCTGAACACCTGAGGTTGGCTGTGTGGGTCTCCCAGGATTCTACACTCTAATCTGGGCGGTCTTTCTGATGGTCTGTAGGAAATCAGACATTCATTAACAAGCTGATCTGCCTCATGGAACAAGTCACGTCTTGGCTTTGTAAGGTTTCTTTAGGGAACAACAAAAATCCTTTTTTAAAGTTGCTCTTCAAGTTGCCAGATCTTTCTTCCTCACTGCTGGGTGGATTCAGACAGTCGACCGTTAGGTTAGTTGTTGCTGGGTACCAGCTAGTCAAGCCAGACCCACAGCAACCCCATGTACAATAGAATGAACACTGACCTGTCTTGCGCTATGTTTGCAGTGTTCTTATGTTCTTATAACACTGCTGCAGCCACTGTGTTAAGCCATCTTGTCAAGGGCCTTCCACTTTTTCCCTGCCCCTCCATTGTGCCAAGCATGTTGCCCGCCCCTGACATGCCCAAAGTACCTAAGGCCAACTCTGGCCATCTCTCACTTCGAAGGAGCATTCTGGTTGTACTCCTTCCAAGACAGGTTTGTTTGTCCTTTGGGCACTGCATGGTACTTTCAATATTCTTCTCCAGCACCTCGATTTGAATGCAGCCATTCTTCTTCATCTTCCTTATTCAGTGTCCCACTTTCACATGCACATGAGGCAATTGAAAATATTCCGGCTTGAGTCAGGTGTACTTTTTTGTAATACTAGTAGTAGAGGGGAACAGATCTGTTTGGGGAGAAGTCCAACCAGAATGCTTCTTAGAGACAAGGATGCTGAAATGTCATTTTATATACTTTGGACATGTTGTCAGGAATTGGTCCCTGGTGAAGGACATCAGGCTTGGTAAATCAGTGGGCAGTACAAGAGAGGAAGGCCTTCAATGAGATGGATGGACACAGTGACTGCAAAAATAGGCTCAAGAATAAGAACAATTGGGAGGATGGCACAAGATAGGATATTGTTTACTTCTGTTGTACACAGGGTCACTCTGGGTCTGAACGGACTCCCTGTCACCTAAATACAATGACAACCGAATGAAAACTGCCTGTGTTCCCCTGGGACTTTAATCCCCAAGCCCAAACTCTACAAACTCACTCCTATTATTGAAGCCATTCCAATTAGTGTCAGTTATTTTGATTTCTACTTCCACGACTTAGCTTTGCCTCATTTTGAAGTTGTTTGTAAAGTTAGAAAAAGCTGACAAAGAGACAGCCTGGGAGCTGATTTGGCACCCCGTGAGAGAGATTTCACTATTCCTCCTTCCCAAACCCACCTGATCAATTGCTCAATCGAGCAGACCAGTGAAGAACGGCCCCCGCCTCCCTGGAATCTTCAGGGGGTGTTCCAGCTGTAAATAGTGGAGGTTTCACTTCCAGTTGTTCTGGAGAAAAGATCCCCCAGCAGCCCAGTAAGTGGTTTGTGTTCACCGAGAATTAAGTACTTAATTGAAACTAGACACTGAGAGTTCCATTAGCTTCTGTAGCTGAAAATATCAATGGCAGGAAATCTGATTTCAAACGGTAATGCAAAAGAGCAGTCCTATTTCTGTTTCCACCTTTCCCTGAATATTTGTCTGAACCGCCCCCTGCCCTCCACCCAAACACCCAAAGTCACTGCCAGAGAGTCAATTCCAACTCATAGCAACCCTATAGGAGAGCATAGGATAGACCTGCCTATCTGGGTTCCTGAGGCTGTAGCTTAAAAAAAAAAAGCATTGGCACATGTTCACATATCATACAATTCAGTAGTTCAATCTCATCAAGAAGAGTTGTACAGTCATCACCACAATCAGTTTCGGAATATTTTCTTCAAGCTTGTACTCATCATTATTACCTTCCCATTTCCCTTAACCTCCCCAGCCATACTCCCAAGGAACTATTAATCCAATTACTGACTCTATAGACTTGCCTATTAGATTTCAAATACAGAAAAACAAAAACAACAACAACAACAAAGTCAAACAGATAAAACCTCAATCAAAAAGAAATCAAAAAGTATAAAAAAACTAGAAAAAATGAGTCAAAAGAGAGATCAAATGACAAAGTGTACAATTTTAACTTAACTGCATCTGCAAAAATCCACTTTCTAATGCATTCTGCATAAGAGCACATCCCTGGTCTATGGTCAGAGGGCATTCCACAAGAGGCTTAATCCATGTCTATCTCCCCTTCACTTATTCTTTTTTTAAGGGAAACAACAATTTATCACGATGCGACCTATTGGTCCAGTTGTGAGGATTTTGTCTTCTTTACATTGAGTCCTAATCCATACGGAAGGATGCGATTCTTGATCTGCCCCAGCAAGGGCTTCAAAGCCTCCTGAATTGCAGCAAGCAAAGTTATGTCATCTGCATATTGAAGGTTCTTAATAAGCCACCACTTTTCTGTCAGTTTGTCGTACTGTAGTGGATTGTGAGTTGCTGTGATGGTGACAGCTTTGTCACTGGTATTTCAAAGGCCAGCAGGGTCACTCAAAGAGAACAGGTTTTAGCAGAGCTTCCAGAGTAAGAACAGGTAAGGAAGAAGGCCTTGGCTCCACACTTCTGAGAAAATAGCCGCGGAAAAACCTCAGGAATGATTCTATTGATAGTGTCATTAATTTAGCCAGTGGCATAGAATTTAGGACACGGTTGAGAAAAAAGGCAATTATGAGTATAGGCCAGCTATGAACCACAATACATCAGTTGTTGACTAGTACAGATTAAACTCTTAAGTGATTGGACACTATTTACACAAACAATGGGGGCTGGTGATAGGGCAAAACTTTCTATAATTTCATTCACAATAGCAGAGCCATGCCTACTCGATTAATACATATCATAATGAAACAGAGGGCATAATATAGCAACTATATGGTAATTCATCATTCATGGGGCAACCTCAAGGCAAGAGATTCAAATCAAAGCGTAATGTCTGCCAGTTCTATGCGCTTGGGATAGCAGCCAACTGTTTCTTCTATCACTAGGGAGTTTCTGCCTTACGTCCAGGTGAGTTTGACAAAATGCCTCATTCACTTTATGGGGTTTCCACACCCAGTCCTTCTGGGGTGGTCTATTAAGGCTGCCAATGCTCCTCCAAAGAGCAGAGTCTAACACCCCAGTAGTCTATAGCACTCAGCCGGGGCCACCCAGGGCTGCATAGAAACTCAGTCAGAGTGTCCACATAAGAACTTAGTACCAGGCATGTTCTCCCCTGGCAGATTCTATATAAGTATTGTTAAGCATTTCTTCCTGATGGAAGGTTTTTCATCCCGCTTTGCTGCCAACAGAAATGTAATTGCCTTCTTTGAGACTAATGTGCCGCTCTCCCTCCATCTTTACTTGAATGGCCAATGAGCTTTGCTTATCACTCTGGTAGGAGTGAGTGTCTGTTGGTTTGGGGTGAATGGAGCTTCAGG